CCCCAAAACCCCAAAACCCCAAAACCCCAAAACCCCATTTGTCGTTAAGCCTACTGAAGGTTAATAATAATTAAAATTCAAATGTGTCTGTAAACTCCTCTCCACTTTTAAATGAGAAAGTTTCCTCTGATTCACAACGAAGCAAGATTTCTTCTTTATACCTCAAATTCTCCATCTTCAAAATCTCAAGATCCTGTTCTTTCTCCTCCACCTTAATCTTCTAAATCCCAAATTACCCCAAAAGTCTTCCAAAATATTTCCATAAACCCTTAACTGTCACATACATCAATCTTGATCTGCCTAATAAGACTAGCCACCTTGCTCTCCAGTGCTGAAGAATCAGGGACTCTTAAGTCAAGATCAGAGCGCTGCTGCTGCAGCAGCTCGTTCTTGTCCTTCTGTTCCTGAATCCGCATCTGTAGGTAAGAAGGGAGCTTACCTTAAGCTGATCGATCATGTACATGTTGACTCTGGTAGTCTCTTCGTAAGTGAATAGCTTCCATTTCCTTAAAAATTCATCTAAATTATGAAGGCTGTGTTGGTACGTAGAAGGGATTTAGAAGCCTTAAGTCGTTTCTTCATGTAAAATTTCTGTAATTTCTGGATTTTAGATGTTAATAACGCATTGTTTCTGGCTATACTGTCTGCTTCTGAGTGGCTATCTTGGATCTGCAGCTTACATCAAACAGTTTTATGAGAAGCATTAGCAATTCTATCCTCTAGGTGAGACCTTGTTGTATCTATAGTAAAAGTTAGGGGCTCTAGTCATCTGGCACGCTGAGGAGGAGAAAATATGATCAATTTTTTGTAAAAATATGCTTGAATTGTCTTAGAAATCTTACTAATTTTCTTCTTGGACAGTAATTTCCAATGAGCGAATGCTTCTTTGACTGTAACTACTTTTGGGCATGAAAACTGAGAGTTAAGGAGCCGAACCTTAGCTGCATAAGTCTTGAGAGCAAAGAAAGCTTTCTTCTTGAGTCCATCCCTGATCAGAGGTAGGGCATAAGTCCTAGTCTCTGCTTTTAGGAGAGAATTCAAGCTGGCCTGCTCAATACGAGAGTTTCTCAAAGCTATTGCTTTAGGACCTGCTTCTGATTGGATTTTCTCAATTTTGTGAAATTCAGCAACTTGTTTCCATTTAGAGAAGGATGGGAGCAATCTATGCCTCTGGTGTTTTCTGAGAAGGTTTAAGAGTCGTTTAGGTTGAAGAGATAGGCAATGGGTTGTTACTTTGAGGGTCTGGAATGCAGAGTTTAGGTCTGGAGTTATTTTGGCTAGCTTCATTCATGCAAGTTTTTTGAGGTTATTTTGTTGTCTTTTAGTTGCAAGAGTGCTATTTCTCCATGTTTCAAAAGCAATCGATTGTTTAAATCTATCCATTTTTGTAGAGTTTTTAAGAAAAACATATTTGAGAAATTTCGATTCTTTTCTGACTTTCTTGAATTCATTCAAAATTTCTTCTTTCAAATTTAACTCCCTCTTCTCTGTAAAATTCTTAAACTCTATTTTAAGCTTCTTCCTCAATCTTAAAGCCTCCAAGACCCTCCTAAACTCTCTCAACCTTCTCTTCTCCTCAACTTCCGTCTGTTTCTTTCTCACACCCTAAATATCACAATTTCTCCCCCAAAATTAAATCACCCAATCCCACACCTAAACCCCTATTCCAACAGCAATCACCCATCCCTCTCTACCTCTTGCACCAGTCACCGCTTCCATTCCTTCAAGACTGTTCTCTTTCATCTCTCTTTTTCAAGTACAGTTCTCCCCTCTAGAATCCTCAGGACTATACTTCCCTCCATCTGGTCAACAAATTGGCAGAAATCCTTCCTGACTTCTTCGACTTTCTTGAAATCAGTCTTCGCTTGGATCAGAGCTGACGCTCTGATCGAGTTGAAGGCTGAGCGAAGAGAGTGGCTAGAAGGAGAGGTCAGGGGATTTTAACACATTTTAACCGTAACATAAAGCAAGAATAAGGAAACTTACCGCTGAGTGTTCTTGACAAGGGATTCCAGGCACCTTTCAGCCTGGGAGACCTGTAATTCGTCTTTTGAGTCAGAAAGGATTTTGGAGAAGGCCGGTTTGAGTAGGTGGGCAGTGAGGGTTTTGCAGAGGGCTTTTCAAGCGGATTTTTGGAGGGCTCGTGGGGGTTTTGGGGTAAGGAAGCCTGGAGTTGTTATTTTTAGGGAGAATAGAGGAGATAGGGGGTTTTGAGGGTTTGGAAGGTGAATGATGGGGTATGGGGTGTTTTTGGAGTTTAGGGCATTTTTCGAATTTTGGAGGGGAGATATGGGGTTTTGGACATATTTTGAGAGTAGGGAATACGATTCTGTACTCTTAGAGTGGTTGTAGAGGTATAGTTCCTAATGTTTTAAAGGTTTTTGAATTTTATTTATTTGAGTGCATTGCTTCCAAACATAAAAAGGTTTTCTGATTTTCTGGAGGACCTTATTCCCTAATAACTTCTTAAATTTTTTGATTATCTGCTTCTTGTATTGATGATCTTCAATCCAATAATGTGTTCGATACAGAGATGCATTCCTGATTCTCTCAAATGCTGGTCTCAAAGTTGAATTTCTTAAGCTTTGCACAAGCATTGATGCTTTTCTGACCATTATAGAATCAATATTTTCACATATCTTCTGTCTCTCTTCATATAACTCTCAAAATACTTTTCCTTTACACTGGTGGACTTCACTCAAGGATTGGTTTTCCACCTTCAAAGTCTCATATTTACAATCATTAGTTAAGGTTTTTGATAGGCAATAGCTTCTTTTCCATTTTTGAAACTGAGATTTCAAAATCCAAGTTCTTTTCCTTTGCAATATTTTCAGAACCATCAGTTTCTTAGTTTGATCTTTACCCCTTGTAATTACTTCTCTCCAATTTCGAAGGCATTGCCTCATAACTCGGTTTCTGTACCATCTTCTAATTCTCAACAACGATACCCTTTTCTTTTTCCAGAGCCATCTTCTTAAAGCTTCTTTCTTAAGGCTCCGCTCAGCATTCTTCACAGCTTTAAGAAGCAGCTTCATCATCAAAGACCTTGTTGGTGTAAACCGCTTCCACTTCTTTAGCACCAGGAGAAGCTTCTTGTTCTGTTTAAAGCTTGCCAGCTTGACAAGCTTCTTAGCTCCTTCAACTCTAAGATCTGCTTTGATCGAGCTTACCTCTCATCTAGAAATCTCGAGGGCTCTAGCACACACTTTGTGAGTGCTAAGAAGCTCCTTATGAGTCGTTCAGAGAAGAGAATATTCTCTTAGCTGTACCATTACTATAAATCTTGAAAACCCCTTTCGTTTCATATTTTTCAGTAGGTGTCTCATCTGTGGATTCCTGTAGGAATCCACAGTGAAAGTTGACCGCCACTTGTGAAAGTAAAACCTAAGGGTTTTAGGGACCAGTGAAGTTAAGACTACTGAGGTATTTTCTGAGTTCTCCTCACTTGGTTGCTCTACAGCCAAGATATTTCTTAAGCTCCTTTTCATAATCTTGGTATTTAGTTCTTCAATCTTGGCTGCAAGCAATTCTTTGGGTAATTCCTTCCGAGTAGAGATAGTCAATGATTTGAGAGTATTGGTATGAAGATGTGCTAGCAACAAGTGCTTAAAAGCAATCTGACAAGCTTTCTTTGTACTTGCAAGATAGACATCCTGAGACTCAAAAGATTTGGATAATAAGTAGTTTTCCTTGAGAGAATGGAAGGTCCTTAGTCTCAACAAAAGTTTAGTAAAAGATGTTGATCTCAAATAATATTTCATCGTACTAAAAATTCTAGACTTCTGCTTTTGAGCGATGTGCTCAAGGATAATATTTTCTCTTTCTGGATCTAAAATTTTTGCATTTCTCTTCAGTATCTGGAATTCTTGGTTAAGATTTTCTTTATACTTAAATATTTTCCCAATAATCCTTAAACCACAATCAATCTTCAAATAATGATTATTCTGACTCTTCCAGGCATTAAAAGCAGACTCTAGCTTTATCTTCCTGCTAAGCTTGATTCTTTCATAGATTCTAGTGATCAGCCGTGTCTCATATCACTGCTTTTGGGTGTCCAAAAATGCTACTTTTATCTTTTGTGCTTCTTGTATACCACTCTCGATAAGACACTTTTTGATCCAATATAGTTGTCTGAAATCCATGCTAGATGAATAATGAGCAGAGTTCTTACCTTGAATCCTGCTCATTGCCCCTCACACTATTGTAACAATAATAATCAAATCGGTCTTTAATATACTTCTTCTCAACTTTCTTAGTCACTCTCAGAAGTGAAACCGAGAACAGGTCTCTGTGGCTGCTTTGCAGCCACAGAGCATGCTCTTGTTTGAGGTGTTTGACTAAGAGTTTATGATTAAGTAAGGAAAACTCTGTCTTAATTTGTGCATACTTCGCATCAACCAATAAAATTGAGGTCTTAGGTACAATTAATCTTCTTAGTCAACGTCTTGACATAATTCTTGAGGTTCTCAGAAGGTCCTTCTATTGGAGGAATCTGCCTGATTTGAAGTTCAATTCAAGCACTTTCTGACTTTATATCTTCTCAATTTCAGATCTGATCTAAAGAGATGAAAAGGAGACTTACCTTCAGCTTGTCTTCATTTAGGAAGGAACCCAAAGTTTCTAAAGAGGAATTAGGGTTGATGTTTAGGTCATGATGCAGTCTAAAGAAGCTTACTTTGGTACATAATGATCTGGCTTTCAGCTGTTTGAAGCATTTTTACCTAAATTAATGGATTAAGAATTTGAGGGTAGAGAGTAGAGTTAGGTATTTATTCGAAATCAGAATAGTGTAGAATTATTGTGATTATAAGTTTTAAAATTAAATTTGAATCAATTTCTGTGGTTATAGATTTTTAAGATCTTACTTTAACTCTTGTTTGAACTTGAACTGATTCTAAACAGGCTAAAGCTTTTTCAACAGTAGTAATAGTTATTTCACTATTATCTTCTTCAACTTGACCATCGGAGTCTTTAGACATTGAAATAATTTTAATATTCTCATACTCCTTTTTCTGTTGTTTAAATTTATTACCATCCTTAGTCTTTTTAATCAACCCTTTCTGAATCTTAATCTTAGGAATTAATTCCAAACTGGGCACCTTTAAGTTCAGATCTATCTCTCTCAGCGGTTCCGCCATTTTGACAATTTTAATTTTTCAAATTTTAAAATAATCCCAGGGGTTTTGGGGTTTTGGGGTTTTGGGGTTTTGGGG